GGAGTGGAGGTCCTGCAAAATTCCATACCTCCAAGTAGTGTCATAAGCTTTCTCGAGATCGAAGAACAAGGTGTTCTCTCATGAGAAAAGCTTCCCTTATCGACGTTTCAAGTCGAATCATATGGTCCATGGTGGAGCACTGTCAACGGAACCCACACTGGGTGAGTGAGAGGAGCATGTTTGATTCCAGGAATCAAACAAGACGAGCATTAACCATTCTCTCTAGGACCTTACAAAGACAACTTGTCAAAGCGATGGGTCGATAATTAGAAGGAATCTTGGGATATTCCCAGGTTTAGAGAAAGGGAGTACAATAGCCTGGCGCCAAGCATCAAGAAAAATATACTCCTGCCAGATCTGGTTAAAAATAACCAGAAGAATAGCAAGAGATGCAGGAGAGAGATGGCGTAACATCTCATAACGAACATCATCAATTCCGACCAATGTAGTACCAGAACGATGAAGAGCAACTTTGTGTTTCACCACTGTAAAGGGGCGATTATAATCATAGAGACGATCGGCCGGAAAGGAAAGAGGCGATCGCTCTGCCCTAGACATTATGACCAAGAAGACAGAGGAAGAAACAAAAGTGCAAGATGCACGAGAAAAGCTCTGGACATCAGCAACTTCCTGGCCATTGGAGGGCAAGGTGGAAAGGGGATGGAAAGCATACCTTTCCGTGACTTTCCGAATCTTGTCCTACACAGTTTTGGAACTGGTGGTAGACGAGATGCTAGTAGTGAACTTATTCCAAGGCTCCTTTTGACTTTGATGTCGAACCTGCTGAGCATGGGCACGGGCCCACTGATAAACAATGCGGTTAGAAAGAGAGTGATACCAACAGAAGGTATCCCAGGCCCGTTTTTGAGCCTTCTGTGCCTCCTGGCAGGCAGGACTCCGCCATGGACGAGGATACCGTGGAAATCGTGTCGAGGTCTCAGGGATAAAATGACCAGCTGCCTTGACTATACAGTTAGTCACTGCAACTACACAATCGTCTATTGATGGCAGACAGATGAAGGCAGGATCAATTTCAGAGAGAGAGGTGAAAGATGGCCAGTCAGCCTGGTCCAATTTCCACCATGGCACTTGGGTCGGGTGGTATCGTCCATGGCCAACCTCTCTCAGTATGATAGGAAAATGATCACTGCCCCGTGGGTCACTGTCGACCATCCAAGAAAAGCGAGTGAAAAGTGAAGGGGAGCAAATCGAGAGATCAATGACAGTAAAAGACTGACTAGGTGCATGAAAATAAGTATATGTTCTAGTATTGAAGAGAGAACGGTTGTAATCTGAGAGCATACGCTCTATGGAACGACCCCTCGCACCAATATCAGCACCACCCAAGACTGGGTTGTGTCCATTAAAGTCTCCCAGAAGTAAAAACAGAGATGGCAACTGGTCAACGAGAGCATCAAGGTCCGATTGAGCATAAGTCTCCCCCGGAGACAGGTAGAGAGAACCAACAGTGATGATATGACCCAAGGAAATACGGATGGCTACGGCCTCCAAGGGTGTATCGAGAAACACAGATAAGGACGGCACATGCTGGTCGACAAACAGTGCCACCCCTCCATGCACCCACCCATCACACGACCTGTCATTCCGGTAAAAAGAAAAGTGCCGAAAGGTCACTGTATCGGCAGGTTTCAGAAATGTTTTCTATAAGGAGAGATACACGAGATGATAGCAGTCAATCAAGGCCTTAATGTCATCGAGATTACAACGAAAATCTCGACAGTTCCACTGAGTAAATGTGGCCATTTTTATGTAGGTTTAGGAGAACAGGGTGGAGAACCCTTCGGTTTACGACCACGCCATTTCTTTTTACTAGATGGAGGTCGATCGACCTCCATGGATCCTGCCCTTAATCGAGTTGGCAGATCTCTGTAATCAGAATGAGAATCCAGTGACTGAGGACGTGATCGAATGATCGTCCTGCATTTAGGAGCCAAAGAAGGACTGGAAGGAATAGTGAGGACAGAGATTGGAGTAGACGTAGACCTATCAACTCTAGTATCCATGGAGGGTAGAAGACCCCTCACATGGCGTGAAAAAGACTCAGATGGAGGCACAGAAAGGTCCGTCTGCACTCCCACTATAGCAGTGGAGCGTAACGTAGTGCAGTGGCATATGTCCGAGATGGAGTAGGGAACAATAGCTTCCCAGCCTCAGGATAAGAGATG